TTGAAACCGGACTTGAGGACTGCCAGCAGGAAAAGATCCCTACCTGCCTCTCTGTGCGCCGGCCTGACTGCCCTTCCTGCCTTACCCACCTGCGTCCCTGTCTGCATGCGCGCTTGCTACATGCATGCGTTTTTTGGCTCCCACATGGCAACGTCAGCGCGCTGACCCTGCATCGCGGGCATCATGTCACAAACTACCGACCAGTACATGCATGCATGGATATACATATGAGTAAGCGAATCAACCAACAAGCGTATGTATGTATATATGATATATATATATATATATACATACACACTCTATATATGTATACATGGATGGTTGCGCGCTGTGTGTTCCGTGCCCTCCCCCACCTCCCCGCCCCATGTTTTGAACTAGTCGCAGTGTTGCCGACTGGTTCTTGCTTCGGTGTTTCAAGGAAAGGGATGTGTTTAAAATATGAGGTGCACACCAAAGCCGAAGCCGATAGGTCCTAGCCTCGAACTGGAAGCCCATAAACCTTGCCGCAATGCTAGTGGAAGCTGATTCTCGATCCCTTCATGCCAACATGCAGTTGGCTCACCGCAGAGCAGAACTCGAAACAGTGAACCATCGCTCAAAATCTGGCGATGTGGACAATGCGTGCAAGATTCATGCATTTCAGAACCGATCCAAAGAATAGGGATCCAATATAAAGTTGGGGCGTTCACGGCACACGTTTGTTAAACGTCCTTTATAATAGAAGTGTTGCAAGTCGTGTTACAAACAGCAGTTTTCTACAATTCCAGGCAGGGCTTTCGACAAACTTCGGCTCTCGACAGGTTCACTGGCTTCCACAAGGTTGGGGTCTGCACCGAGCAGCTTGTTCCACAGATTTGGGTTCTGAACGGACACGTCTTTTCACGAGACTGGGTTCTGACAGGACATGCATTTCCACAAGATTCGGGTCCGGACCAAAGAGGTTTTCCACAGATTTTGGCTCCGGTCGGACGCGTGTGTGCGGAAAAACTTGCGGACAACGTTGGGGAAACACATGTCGTGTTTGCGGACAAACTTGCGGAAAACGTTGTGGAAATACATGTCGTGTTTGCGGAAAAACTTGCGGAAAACGTTGCAGAAACACATGTCGTGTTTGCGGAAAAACTTGTGGAAAACGTTGTGGCAACACATGTCGTGCGGAAAAACTTGCGGAAAATGTGTGGAAACTCTGGTCGTGTTTGCGAAAAAAGCTTGCAGAACACGTTGTGGAAAACATGTCTGTGTCATGCTAGAACGTGTTGAAGTTTAGAATTTTCTCTTTTCCGCAATGCGTTCCGCAAGTTTCTCCGCAAACATGACATGTGTTTCCAAAGTTTCCGCAAACACGACGGAGTTTCCACAAAGTCTTTCCGCCAACACGACCAGAATTTCCACAGATGTTTCCGCTCTCTTGTGTTGCTCCTTGGCAAGCCACAAAAATGCGGAAAAGCTCTTTTGTCAAGCCCCAAAGATGTGGAGAAACTCTCTTGGGATGCTCCTTGCCACGCCCCAAAGATGTGGGAAAACCCTCTTGCGAGGCTCTTTGTCAAGCCCCAAAGACCTGAAAAACCCTCATGTGACGCTCTTTGTCAAAGCCCCAAACATGTGGAACACTCTTGGGATGCTACATGTCCAGCCCCAAAGATGTGGAAAAACCCTCTTGCAAGCTCTTCTTAGCCCAAGCTAACTCATGCAACTGGCTGTAGCGTTGTGCGAGTTTAGAGTGAGTGACCTAATGTGGCCCAGGAATGCTCCAAATATGAAGGGTTTAATCTGGAAACATATCAAGAACAACAACGAATAGTATATAATACTTCTTTATGAAAATGCGAAACATTTTCAGAAACATGGAAAAGCGTCAAAAAAGCAACAAATAGAACAATTGGGCACAATCAAAACTTAGGAAAACTTAGGACACCCTCAAAAAAGTATAAACAAGCCATAGCCATAAACGTCCAAGTTCTATAAAACAAGGTGGACAATTGCCAAGCCAAACCAACATCATCAAACAGATCAATAAAGCAACAACTTTTGAGAGGCAAAGTAAGACTATGTAAAAACATATGACTAGAACCAGATCGTAAAACGCAACTCAGAATCGAAACTGCATTCGGAAGGTGCCCACCCCTTCAGGAGGACTGTCTGAATGTCAGGCCTCGACAACCAACTTGGGCGGGCTCCATCGCCGCAAGCGAACACAAAAAACTTGAAACACGATTCCAAAACATGACATCGACTCATCACCTTACTGGAGACATGTCAATCATGTCACCATGTGGCATGCATGTTGTCGCGCTGCTAACTTTTGACACCCTAGCTAAATATAGTGAAGAACGGGCAATGCATCCCACAGTCTGTCAGGCCGTGCGAACAAACAACAGTGTGCACAGAGATTGTGTCAGAATGGGGCCATGGATTCAGGAATGGGCATGTGATCTTTGAGAGAGATTTTATTTCAACTTATAACTTATACGCAATATCATGGAATGGCTTAGAAGTTTCTGCATGACTCATGCCCAGAGATGAATTCGAATATTTCCTATGTTTTTCCAGGGTCCCACAACTCACGAAGCAGACCCTTCCGAACTCGCCGTCTATCCTTGGCAAAAAACTGAAGCTAACCGTTGGGTGGGGGCCCCACCGGGGCGCAACCATATTTCACACACACACACATGCATGCACCACCGTCGGCTGTGCGTGCGCGCCGTCCGTCAAGAGATGGGCAAATTGCACATGATATGTCAAAGCCAGTCTTAGACTTCACGAGTGCAGACAACACACTTAATCACAGTTAAATCATTCCAAGCGAGATGGTACACACTCTATACTGTGGGAGCGAAGGAGATGCTGGGCTTCCTGCCGAAGTCATGCTGATCATCTCCCAGGCCGAGACGGTAGAAGGACTTGGCACCCAGATTCCCAAGCCGCGCGTGCAGCTTCCTGGCCTGGATGTCAGGTCCAAGCATTCACATCGAGCGCAAGACTCGCAAGTTACTGTAGCATCGTTCCAAGGCGCTGCATAGTTGAATTCGCGGTAGCGGCGATCTCCGAGACCGAACACCGTATACGACAGCTTGGCCAGCGATCTTAGTTTAGTGCTTCATCGGCGCACGCTATAGATAAACACACATCAACGGGTGCACACTGCAAGCGCTATGGAGCAGGTTTCGGAGAAAGCTAAGCCACACCTAGCAGGTTTGGGGTATCCCGGGTCAAAGTCAGCAGCCATGGCACGAAGGGGGCAACGAGGCCGACAGCATCTCCTGCCATAGCCGCCGCATGTTCAATGGCGGATCACCTCGCACAACGAGGTGCAGGCTTCTGCCAGTTTCAACAGCTGGCGTGGCTTCGTCAGGCTGTGCACTCTCGGGCACAATATGGCACAATCATACTGCACTGCTGAAGGCCTTGTCCAGTGGTGGAAACGACAAAGATTCCAATCTTCGTCTTACTGAGCCTTAGCGCGTACAACAGTCTGCGATGACCTGTGCTGCCCTCTGCTCGGAGAGTCTGATGCAGGTTTTATCACCAGGGGCAGGGTTATGCATTGCCGGGGCAAGCTGCTGCTATACAAACTCTGGTCACGACATGGAGGCCCGCGCTCATGGATGCTCGTCTCATCCTGCGTGGCAGAGCAGGTTTCACCGGCTACGGCTGTACGCCTGGACCCTAGGCTGGGTTCCGCTGTTCACACGACGGTCCAGCGCTCTTGGTTCCAGTAGCCAGCCACGGCGCCGGCCCTCTCGCGCCAGCTCCCAGGCAACCTCCTCAGCAGTGCCTGTCACGAGCAAGATACAAAGACTTATGCGCCAGAAGCGAGATCAAGTGCTCTACGAAGCTCCCTCATCTGCCAGGCCTGTTTGGGAGCCGTAGAACAAGCTGACCGCGGTGTCCACTCCATTCGGAGACATTGCAGTCAGGTTCGAATCAGCCGAGCCCGGCCGGTGCCGGGCGACTCATGCTGCCAGGTTAGGGCGGATGCAAAACTTCAGTTTTGGCCGGCAAATAGGCATAACGTTCTGTGTTCTCCATAGTTTTGTGCGGTCCTTGGGCTCATCAGTCCCTGTGATTGGTCTGATGCTATACAGCTTTCAGATCGCGGCACAGAGCACACCAATCTAACAACATAATAGGCGACTGGCATACAAATTCATGCCATGGCCCAGCAGGGCTGTAGGTAGAACCTTCCTTTCAGCCCAAGCCCGTGGCTATTATCTTCCGCTGGCCAACCTTCGCTGACGGAGTTTTGGAAGCATCCGACAAAGCACTCGATGGACTCTCTCTCGGAAGCCTCACTCAGTACTCAACACAGAAATGCCTCAAGTGCGAAGTCTGCAGCCCTCGCATAGATAAGCTGGCTTCCACCAGAGCGACAAGTGACGGGAGGTCTCTTGAAGACCCGCTGCTGCTGCTGAACGGACATGGAGCCATGAAGAGGCAAAATCCAAGCCCGCTCGCCTGCGGTCGCAAAGCGGTGACCAAGCTCTGCCACAAACGGAATGCGGCCCTTTTCCCAAATTATTTCTGAAAAAACTAATACTGACTGTTTCAGTGGAGGGGTCGGATTGTTCGACAACGCATGGTGCGGTGCTCATCTTCGACTAAAGCTTCGTTCTGTAATCCCATGCCGGCCGTGTCCGCAGGGTACGCCGGAGTTGATGGTAGAAGCAAAATAAAACTGTGGCGCTCTCATGAGCTACCCGCCGTTACTACGCTGGGTTTTGGATCTTACTACTTATATTATTAACACTATCATTATTATCATCATGAACATTATTGTTTGTAATATTACGGCGACGACGACGACTACTACTACTCCTACTTTACATTATTATTTCTACTCCTGCTGCTGCTACAACTACCTACTACTACTACTACTACTACTACTACTACTACTACTATTTCTTCTACTACTACTACTGCTCCTACTGCTACTACTGCTACGACGACGACAACTACTGTACGACTACGACGACGACGACGACTA